CAATAAAAATGCAGTTTTCTCTGCTTGCCAAAACTCGGGGAACAAAAGCTCTCTCTTCTTGATTAAAAAGAACAATAAGTTAATTTACAGAAATTTGGACAAGTCTCTTTACCTCCTGGAAATCACCTAGCAAGAAGTTGTATAAAAATCTAAAATTCTTATCAATTTGTTTATCATCTGTCTTCAGGTTGGCAACAGAGAATGAATATAACACTAATAATTCACATCCTAAAAAAGTACTTAAGAATTAAGAATCAAGTTAGCAACAAAACAGTTTTATCCTAATAATTATTTGGATTGGATATACCTATTAGATCTTACAATAAGATTATTCTTAGTTGTCAGTCTGCCATATTATGTAAATTTGAATATTGCTCTAACACAAAGAAAACCAATAATAGTAAGATCTATATTCTGTTTTACAGCATGGCTACATGAATTAAACAACAATTCACAATATATTTGCACTCACATTAGACCTAAAACAGTATGACTTTTCTCTTAAAAACAGAAAAAAGAAAGGATAAACAATTACAAAATGGTATGAACCTTCTGTTTTAAAAATGGTCATCTATCCATCCATCCATACCTCTATCTTTAGAAGGATGTACATATGAAGGTGTTAACATGAACTTATTTCTGGCTGATAAAATTATGGCATTTTATTCTTTTTGTTTACCTAAATTTTCTACTTTTACAATAAACATGCATAACATCTAAATTTAAAAGTATTTTTGAAATTTTAGGACTTCATAATGAAAGCACAAAAGTATCATAAAAAGAAAAAAATGAGAAAATTTTTGTAAAAAATGAAAGGGATAAAGATAGGAACACTTCAATATACAAAAAGGAAATAAAATTCTAGAAGGTTGATTCATGATCTGCAATGGACAACTGGTAAAAGAACACAGATAATTTACCAACTATTACACTTGTCAAAAATAACAGGAATACAGAATTTTAGAATTGGAAAATATCACAACAAAGTCACTAAGTGTAGTATACCATATCCCTTCCATGTGATGCCTCAATACTATGGAAAATAAAAGGTAGACCAGATAAATAAAGACCATTTATCTCTGATATTCTATGATTTTACTAAAAGCATTTGGTTGTGATGAGTCCCTTCTCACTTTGAATTCCTTTCCTCATTTATATGGTATTAATTACCCTAATCAACTGGGTATCTCTTTTGACTATTTAGGCTCTGGAGTCACTAACACTGGCACTTACCAACGGATCACTGTACTTTGTGATAGCCTTCTGCCAGGTTACCACCAACCAGTATTATGACCTACTTTATGAATTTCCCACTAGGCAATGAAATTATGTCTCAAGTGAGTCAGTGACCTTATTCATATTCAGATACTGCATTTAAAAAGTCTAAGACAACACTGATGGAAAGATAAACCATTATTTTATGTCACTAAGAGAGAAAAAAATAGAGGTCAATTTAACCACAGTATAATACTTCCTTTTCACTTAGAATTTTTAGTTTTTAAATATCCAGAGAGTTCTTTTAAACATATGCAGACACAAGGTTTTATCTTATACCACTGCTGTGCATATATAAAAAAAGAACTGAAATAAACTGGTTAAAGTATTCCTAAAATGTCTTCAGATTCAGAACCTGACTCTTCTTCATCGTATTTTGACTCAATATCCATGATGTCTGAGTTTTCCCTCACAAAGTCATCCTCCGTACCACCGAGAGCACTGGAGATACAACATTTCTCAAAAGTACTCAACTACTGTCTCCAGGAATTTCACTGACACCCATTCTGCAAACTAAACTCATAATTTTGTTTCTTTCCTCAATCACATTGCATGTGACTAGAAGATAAGCAGCTTCTGTTCAGAGACAGCAAGAAGTATCTAACAAATTGATGTCTGACACTCTAACAATAGTCTTTTGCAACATGTGAATCAGTCATGCTAACTGTTATTACTTTGAAATTTCTCCTATCTATTCCAAGGGATTTGACCATTTCTCCTGCCTTCAGTCGGTCACATAACAAATAGGCAATCCTATGCACATAGCTCATAACCAAATGTAACAAGTCTTAAGATACTTGTGGGTATCTCTCTTTCCTAGGTCCTGTAAATCACTTGATTATTTTGCAAGAAGATATGAAATTGCAGTCATTTATCCAACGATGAATACTACCCTCACTAACAGCAAACTTACACCCTGGTACACTTTCTGTACTTTCTTCATACACAATAACTTTTTTGTCTCATTATTTTGTTGAAGACATTTTAAATGACAAACCAATGTAATGCTAACAATACACGTAACTCAAATGAAATGATGACAGTCTGGAGAGCCATAATGCTTACATACTGACAAGTATAGCACGACTAAACCTGGCTGGTAGCAACTGTAAGGTACCAGTGATTACAGTACACATCACAATTTCAGACATTAAAATGTAAAACAGAAAATGTAAGTTTTAGAACCAATAAATCATTCACTTAATAAAGGTCTTGAAGTAGATCCTTGGCAGGAGATTTTTTAACAAATGAGTGACAGACTCAATTCTTAAGGACTTCGATGAGTAATAATAGGAATGACAAAGATAGCCAAATGACTATGATACAAGATAGGATTTGATTTCGATAAACTGCCATGGAATTCATATACACCACCACCGAAATTCACAGAGGAAGTCAAGATTACTTCCTGCTTAGTGGGAAGAATTAAGAGAAGACAGAGATCGAGGTAGGGCTGAGAGAAAGGGGCCATCCAAGAGCAAACTTAAGGAACAGAACAATGTGTTAGAGGAGGTAGACGAATTTGGCTTAAGAAATAACATGTCTTTATCTCATTATTGACAGGAAAGAACAGTCTTTAGAAATGTCTTAAGAAAGATATCTTTCTCTTATAATTAACAGGAAAGAAGAGGTTAGAAATTACAAGAAATCTTAAAATGGAAAGGAAGACAGGTTAGATTAGCTGGCCTCAGTGAACCGGGAGACAAGTTGTCTGTCTACTGAAAGTGAGGAAACAGACACAGGCAAACGGTCTGGAGTAGGTGCCGTGGGAAACGTAACAGGAGTAAATCAGAAGACTGTGCCTCAGTAGTAAGTGCCCAGCTAAGGCCGGAATTCAATGAATTTTGAATGGAACTAATTAGCCCAGCCTCAAAACTTTCTCTAGCAAAGTTCAAATTTAATTGATTTTGTCCTAATAAAAGGAGAATAATAATCATATATTTATCAAAGACTCTCATATTTATTATCTCATTTCATCTTCCCAAGAAATCTGAGATATAAGACATTTTTATATGCTTGGAAGATATGGGAACAGACTTCAAAAGGCTGACTCCCAAATCACCCAGCAGATCCTGACCCGCAGCCATTCAACCATAATCCTACTACTTTTCCTGTGACACCACAGCTGCTTCCCACTGCATACTTACTCCTCCACAATCTACTCTGGAATCAGAGTGGGTGTATGAGTGTGAGTGTGAGTGTGTGTGTGTGTGTGTGTGTGTGTAGAGACATATACACATGCATAACTAATTAAAATGTGAAACAGAATATAAGAGTGTAGCTTTTTTTTAATTTTAATGGTTTAATAATCCTCTCACAGTTCAGTGATGCCAATAACTCTGTCCAAGGCCAATACCTCCAACAAACTCATCCTACTTCCCATACTCTCACCACCAGATAAATATACATCTGGCTGCCATCTGTTTCCCCTTGGACTTTCCTCCATTCCCCATACTCCAAGTTCATAAAAATGTCCTGTTTCACCTTGGCACTCTGAAACATCCAAGCATCCCATGACTATGGTTAAAAATCAACTCTTTCTCCCCTGGACTCTGATTTTCCTCCATTTTTACCCTGTATCCCTATAAGACCTGTGTTCAAAAACAAATATTGCCTACTAGACTTGCAGGAATGGCCTGGTCCAGAGAAACTGTGCAGCAGTACCACACTCTTAGAGAAAACTCAGGCCACGTGTTTTTCCCTTACCCAACTTGAAATACTATGTTTTTGACCTTGAAGATGTTAGCGGTGAGGTGAGCTTTTCCTTTCCTAATACTTGATTCCGAGTAATTTGAAACTCTTTCCCAAGAACCCTGGGGTCTTTGGGTATACTCCCCTTAAAAAAAATTTCTTCATCTGATTTCAGATTAGACATAATTTATTATTTTAGAGCACTGTTAACAATTTTTAAATGAACAATATCAATGATTAAATAATTTCCAAGACAAATTCGCATGCTGCTTGTGGCAATAAAATTGGTATAATTCATTCAGAAGGCCATAACACCACCTACCACAGTCAAAATGATATTAAAGATAAGGAAACAATTCATTAGAAACAAAAGGCTCTATATAGGGAGAGCTTTACCACAGCTTTAAGCGTATAAGTAGAACACTGGGGAAAATGTAGATATCCAACAGAAACTGAAGAGTTTGGTCAATTATGGTACAGAAACACAAGAGAACACTGCACCCATTAAAAACTGTCATAAAGATGAGGTAGAAACATGAGTAGCATTTATGACATAAAGTGAAATACCAGAACACAAAATGGTAAATTCATCATCTTTTTAAAACACATCTTAAAAAATCATTTGGAAAAATGACTCACCTCCAGATCTCTCCTCTTTAAAGCTTCCCCATCTATTCTACTTGCTCCTTTTTTGTTTTACTCTCCTAAGCACTGCCTTTCTGGTCATCTCTAATTTCTAGTACAGCTCTTTTTATCTCCTTCATTTATTGTCTTGACAAAAATTTCACTGCCTATCATGCTCTTTTCCAAGCCTAGGAAAAATATCTATACAAAGGTTACAGAGTAGAAAACAAAACCACCCTATGGCTGCTGCACATACTCTCCCACGTCCTGTCTTGCTATCATTATGAAAGTTACAAGCAGTAAAAGAAGACTGAAATGGAAGACGACTGAGGAACTGCACCAAGCCTACCTATGTCTATCTATCTTAGGAAATAGAAATTTAAAATAATCAACTACTACAAGTATCTTACCTATTCCATGAATCCGATTCTGGTGAAGAAAAAGATTCTATTTGAATGTCAGTACAACTAGAAGAATCATCTGTTCTGTCAGGCTCTGATTTCCCCGGGGAGTCCGGCTTTGACTGAGGGAAGTGGTTTGTTACCAAGGGTATATCTGAGAATTCCATTTTATCATCTTCCTGTCCTAAAAAGGAAAAAAGAAAGGAAAAAAGGAGAAATATTTAAGAGTACCTTAAAATCTACAACCTCTGTATGTTTATTATTTTCACAACATTTAATATTGCTATTTGTACTTAGTAAAATAAAGTTTATGTAACACTGATTCCAAAACTATAGTGACTGCCAAAGAATAAGAACCAGCACTACAATGGTACCATCTAATTATATTGTCCATCCCATTTATCTCCATATTAATTAATTTCAAAACAAAATTTCCTTTAAAACCAGGAGTGGGGATAACCTTGTAATTCTAATGAGGCTTCTATTTACAGTGTTACTAAAGGATTCCTGCATATTTCACAGTTCAGAGAACACGGATAAACATAAGAAGCATAACAAAAAAGGATTCAAGATTCAATTAAGAGAACCACAATATTTGTCACTGACTACTATATGATAATGACCCTACCTGGACTTTTTTCTAAATCTGTTACACAGAATCTAATATTCACTAAAGAAAACTGATCAGACAGATTTCCAAATCCATATAGTCAAGATTTTTCCAGAAATAATGATAAGTTTTTGTTACCCTGGAGAACAGCATACATCACAAGAGTATGATTTCTAAAAATAAGCTCCTGATGTTGCCCGGCTTTTGATAAGCCTAAACATTACCAAAACAACTGTACTCTCTAATGTTTATCTGGGAAAGCGAAAAAAGAAGCTAACCAAGACAACCATCCAGGATCTCTAGGCTCTCCTCTTGTAAACAGATACCCAAAATCATGTTAAGAGGAATCAATTACCTGATAAACTGAGTGAACCCAGGTAACTCTATCACTCAACTGGCCAGGAGAATGCAATCAAGGTGGCAAACCAGGGAGCAGGAATTTAACTTAAAACTATCTTTTATTTTTGCACCTGATTTATATTCTTCTCTTACTTCTCCTCTCTTACAGAAGTTTCTGCAAGATAAATTCCCTCCTGGCGATAAATATCATTCAACAATTTACGAACACTGACAGTCAGTAGCCTTCACAGATAACTGTCCACAGATCCCAGAACAGGACTTCAGATAGAGCCCCAAAATATGAAACTCTGACATCAAACCTCCCCAAAGACATGCAGCAAAAGCAGATGAAGGTTTTCCTTGAGAGCATATGCATCTTGTTCACTTACATTGGCACTTCAATAGCAAGTTTACTCTAAACAGCAAAAATTACACTGGTTGTATGATGCTATACAAAGCCCAACTTTTCAGTCAGCCTGCGCAATGTGTGTGTGTTTTCCTCTCTCTCACACTCCCTACCCCTCTCAGACCTGAGCATTTATGCACAGCAATCTACCAGCAGCACTCATTTCTGAACCCCAGAGAAATATTTATATGCATATACACATATTATACACAACCTCTGAGTACAAGCAATCAATCATTTTCCAGAGAGATTCAACCAATAAACAAAAATGTTCTCCTAATCCGAGAGATTAAGCTGGATTTTCTCAGGAGCTAAACTACTTTCTAAGAATATCCTTTAACAACTGCATTAACAAATTCAAGTTTTTCACAAAGACCATAGGTATATACTCAGGCAGTAACCTAATAAATGACACTAGGAGAATTTATAGCAAAAACAAGGAGTGCAATAGCACCTAAAAGAATAAAATATTTAGGAATAAATCTAACCCAAGAGATGAAAGACTTGCACGGTGAAAACTACAAAACATTGTTGAAAGAAATTAAAGATATAAATAAATGAAAGACATCCTATGTTCATGGATTGGAAGACTTAATATTGTTAAGACATAAAACTAACGAAAGCAATCTATAGATTCAATGCAATTCCAACGGCACTTTTTGCAGAAACAGAAAAGTCCATCCTAAAATTCACATGGATCTCAAGGGACCCAAGTAGCCAAAACAATCTTGAAAAGGAAGAATAAATATTGGAGGACTCATACTTCCTGCCTTCAAAATGTATTATATAGCTATAGTAATTAAAACAGTATAGTGCTGGCATAAGGACAGACATACAGACAAATAGAATAGAACACAGAGTACAGAAATAAACCCTCACATATATGGTCAATTGATTTTCAACAAGGATGTCAAGAGCATTCAATGGGGAATGAACTGTCTTTAGTAAATGGTGCTCAGAAAACTGGATTATCTACATGCAAAAGAATGAAGTTGGACTCTTACCTTACATCATATACAAAAATTTACTTGAAATGGATCACAGACCTAAATGTAAAAGCTAAAACTACTCTTAGGAAAAAACATAGAGGAAAATATTCATGACACTGATTTGGCAACAACTTCATGGATATAACACCAAAAGCAAAGGAAACAACAACAAAAAAATTGATAACTTGAACTTCAGCACAATTAAGCACCTGTGTGCATCAAAAAATACTACCAAGAAAGCAAAAAGACAACCCAGGAAATGTTTACAAATATTTGCAAATCAAGGGATTAATATCCAGAATATATAAAGAACTCCTAAAACTCAACAACAAAAAAACAAACAACCCAATTAAAAAAACGGGCAAAGGACTTGAACAGACAATTGTCCAAAGGAAAACAAATGGCCAATAATCATATGAAAAGATGCTCAACATCACTAATTATTAGGAAAATGCAAATGAAAACCACAATGAGCTACTACTCCACACCTACCATGATAGCTATACATAGTAAAAAAACAGAAAATAACAAGTGTTGGCAAGGATATAGAGAAATTGGAATCCTCAAGCATTGCTGGTGGGATTGTGAAATGGTGCAGATGCTGTGGAAAATAGTTTGATGGTTTCTCAAAAGGTAAACAAAGAATTACCACATGAACCAGAAATTCCTCTCCTAGGTATATATCCACAAGAATGGAAAGCAGAGATCTGAACAGATATTTAAACACCAATGTTCACAGCAGCATTATTCACAATAGCCAAAAGGTGAAAATAACCCATTACGGATTAATGGATAAACAAAATATGGTATATACATATAATAGAATATTATTCAGCCATAAAAAGGAATGAAATTTTAATATGCTACAACAAGGGGACCTTGAAAACATTATACTTAATGAAATAAGCCTATATGGAAGGACAAATATGATTCCACTTATATGAGGTACCTAAAATAAGCAAATTAATAGACACAGAAAGTAGAATGGTGATTACTAGGCCCGGCAGGGAGAGGGGAAGAAAGAGTTACTATTTGATGGGTACTGAGTTTTTGCTGGAGATGATGAAAAAGTTTGGGGTGTAGACAGTGTTGACAGTTACACAACATTGTGAATGTATTTAATGCCAATGAACTGTACATTTATGAATGGGTAAAATGATAAATATTATGTTATGTATATTTTACCACAATAAAGGAAAAAAAAATAAGGAATTTTCTTGTGCATTTTCTTCCATTATGATTCTGTTTTTGTTCACTGGCCCAAAGTCCTGGCAATAGAAATATGATATTAATCTCTAATTTAAAAATGGGTCAAAATTAAGGAATGTGCTATGTATTGGCATACCACATGTATTAGCTTCAGATTTTTTAGCAGAACATTCCATCCAAAATAAGTACCAGTTACCTATAACAATAATTTATTCTCTTTGTTGGATATCTGAGGACCTGCAGCAATAAATCCTACACCTAGAAAACATCCTTAAGCTTAAACAACTAAGCAACTTCTGATTTATCATTAACTGAAAGGAAGACAGATTTTAGAAACTGTGTTCAGGACATTCTCCCAAACATTTTTCCCCAGAAGTAATAAACCTAATTCACGTTTAACAACTGTTATATGTCTAAAAATACTTTTTCTCATTTCAAATAACTAATAAGTCCAAAGTAAATTCCCTTGGTTTTATTTTCTTTTTATATTAAAAATAAACAGTGAAGCAACTAGAAGGATGTGCAGCTATGACATACAACTATCTACTGGGGCTTTGGGGGAAAAAATAAATAAATAAAATCTTTAAAAAAATAAAAAAATAAACAGTGAAATTCAACATACTTCTGTTTTTCAAGTCTCTCACCTGTGCATACAGATAACAGCTTTTCTGCAGATTCATCTTTTTTCGTTACTTCTTTTTTTGACATTCCAATAGTTTTCTTGTATCCTTTTTTGGCCTGATCCACCAGAAGCTGAAATTCATTCTGATGCTTTTTACCTGAAATTCAAAAGATCTTTTCAGTAAAACAAGGACTATACGAGTTATAAGTTTACCACCAACAAACTGAGTATCAAGAAGTGTACAAGCTTGCTCAAGAACAGCACCCTCGGGAATCATTTGCAATGAATATAAAAGCTGGCCAGCACAAGAAGACAAAGGGCTGGGGACGGGGAAAGCCCCTCTTTTCATTTTTTTCCCTCCTCAGAGACAAACACAGAATCATGGTACTCCTAGTTTGCTACGGTAAGTTTCTTCCCAAACTCCATACTCTAGAAAGGCTTTTGATAGAGCATAAAAGATGCTGCTTTCTTAAATATATCTAAGACATCACTCTAACTTCCAAGACACAAAAGAGTACTAGAGAAGAATATTAATTGAATATAAAAGCAGAAGCCTCTAGGAACATTGGGTTATAAAAACAAAGGATATCCATTTTAATTCCCCTTTTCTGCTTCACATTTCTTGCCTGTTTCCCATCAGAACCCCTTTAACAATCGAAGACCCCACCACCACTACCACCACTCCACCTTACCTTATTCAAGACCTTATAATTACACCAGTCTTAATTGACTACTACTTGAACACCTCTGAAGATAACTTAAGTGGACCTCTAGGTCATCATTATTAATGTACATTAATGTACTCAATAAAGGTCATCATTAGGACATCTATTTGTGATTCTGAAACAGGGTTCAAATAGCTGAGGTTGCACTTTACTTATCTAGCAACCTTAAACACCTAAGTCATAGTTCAAAATGTCATAAATACTATAAAAATACATTTTAGAAAGACTCATACTGCAAATGGTTAAAACAAAGTTTTGAGACTGTTTTCATACAGTAAACAACATTTTCCCATTAGCACAATACTAAGAATAACTCGGTATAAGAAAAAATTTGTGCTTCAATTGAAAACTATGCATTTTCTAGAGCTACTCTTCCAGGATTCCAGTCATTCACTGCCTTTGAGCTATGTTACAGCTCTGTAAATTGTATATAACTGATGAAGATTAAACTGACTTTCCTACCCACTGTGGAAGAAGCCAGTTCTGCCTCTATTTGCATATTCATTTCAATATTCTGATCTATTTGAACATTAGGGAAAGACTGCTTCTAATTCCAATATATTTATGTGTATTGTATGTATATGAAAACTCCCAGTGAAACTAATGTGTTGGGTTGTAAAGTGTCTGCAAAATTTTAAATAAGGGACTGGTTAAAGTTTCAGCAAAAGAAATATAAACTGGCCATAAAGATTACTGGAAAAAGTTAGCTGTTTAGAAACAGGTGAGATCCTATCTATGATACAAGCTAGCTGACTTCTTTCAAGTCCTATTTAACTCTACGCATTTGAGGATAATTACTTCGTCCTTCTTCAGCTCTCAGAATCAATGGGCTAACACCACCGCCATCATTACAAAGTTTCTGTTAGGCAAGGGTAACAGCACTAAGGGGTCTACTTAATTTAGTTAGGTTGTTTTCCTAGTAAGGCCACTCCATTGTGTAGAAATGGATTGTGGACTTAAGAATTACTCAAAAAATTTGCTAAAGTAATCCCATTAACAGTTAAGGAGGCTTAATGACTTTATCTTCTGAAGTAATAAAATACCAGGTTTACAAGAGATTTTCTTCTTTTAATCTAATTACTCACTACAGCTAGGCAGAAACCAAAAAGTAAACAGCAACCACTGTTCTTGCTTTGGTCCAAGAAGTCCAACAACCCCTGCTCAAAAAATGAACAATGCCAGGGCCGGCTCGGTGGCGCAAGCGGTTGGGTGCGTGCACTCCGATGCGGCAGCCCGGGGTTTGCCGGTTCAGATCCCGGGCAAGCACCGGTGCACGGCTTGTTGAGCCATGCTGTGGCGGTGTCCCATATAAAGTAGAGGAAGATGAGCACAGATGTTGGCCCAGGGCCAGTCTTCCTCAGCCAAAAAAAAAAAAGAGGAGGATTGGTATCAGATGTTGTCTCAGGGCTGGTCTTCCTCACAAAAAAAAAAAAAAAAAAAAAAGAACAATGCCAAGAGATTATGACTAATAACATTGTTCCCACTCATCTCTTCACCTCATTCTAGCAGTTCTGCCATCTGGCAAGGAGTACTTGAGAGTATAAAATCTCAGTTCTGCTAGTTAGATGCCCTGAATTTACCTCTTCAAAGTTTTAAGTGGCTCAGATAATTATGGGAGCTGATGAATAAGCCCACATTCAACCAACTCATATTCTTCAAGATTTTTAATACTACTCCCTTTCTGCCTCGCCACATGGAAATATCTTTTCTGGTGCCAAGCCAAGTCCTTCACTCCCTGACCACCTTAACTACTCTCTGTTTTTAGACCAGCTTTTACAGCCAGTGTCTCTGGGTCTGCCTGTGAACCCCAGGGTGCACAAGACCAAACCAGGCTCTCTAAGGAGGGAGACTGACTCATCCCTCTCTCTACAATGACGCCACCCAGATACTTACTCATCTACTAACTCACAGACGGAGTTTGGAGTCATTGTCTCCCAAAGTAAAATTTCAAGTATTTTTGTTCACCAACCATCTATGATACCCAAGCAGCTAAACATGGATGGAGAAGAGAGTAACAGTAATGGCTAACACTCACTAAGGGCTTATACATTTAGCCCTGAGTTGACTAGTCTCACTTTTGATCATAACTCTCAAGTGAACATTCAACATTGCTATACAACTCTGCTACCTTTCTCTACTAAACTTTGCTTTACTAATCTCCAAAATGATGATTTCACACTGTCTCCAAACTTCCAACACTTCCCTCTCAGCTACTTTGCAAATACAGATACATTCTAACAGGAACTCTGTCATCTTCTAACTACCATTACTGCATCTGCACACGTATGATCTATTTTCTTTGCAGTTAACATGAAATGACTGTCCTTACTGCAATTAAGGGCCAACCCCGGGCTGGTCCCGTGGCTTAGTGGTTAAGTGCGCGTGCTCCACTACTGGCGGCCCAGGTTCTGATCCCAGGCGCGCACCGACGCACCTCTTCTCTGGCCATGCTGGGGCCGTGTCCCACATACAGCAACTAGAAGGATGGGCAACTATGACATACAACTATCTACTGGGGCTTTGGGGAAAAATAAAGGAGGAGGATTGGCAATAGACGTTAGCTCAGAGCCGGTCTTCCTCAGCAAAAAGAGGAGAATTAGCACGGATGTTAGCTCAGGGCTGATCTTCCTCACAAAAGAAAAAAAAAAAAAGGGCCAACCCCTAACTTATGATCTGGATTCCATCATTAAGGCCTTCTCAAAGACACAATACCTGCAATTATCCTTTCCCTCTCCTCTATCATCAATTTCCCCCTTTCTTTTGAATCCTTCCCATTGGCATACAAATATGCCTGGGACTGTGCTTGTGGGTTGTGAAAACAACTTAGAAGGTCCAGACCAGCATTTTTTTCTTAATGAAATAATAAGAGTAAAAAAGAAAGTTCCAGAGTGCATTAAAAATGAAAAGAGTAAGCAACCAAGACGTCCTTCAGTAGGTGAATGGATAAATAAACGGTGGTACATCCATACAATGGAATATTATTCAGCACTAAAAATAAATGAGCTATCAAGTCATAAAAAGACATGGAGAAACTTTAAATGTGTATTATTAAATGAAAGAAGACAATCTGAAAAGGCTACATACTGTATGAATTCAACTATATGACACTCTGGACAAGATAAAACTATGGAGACAGTAAAAAGATTAGGGGTGCCAGGGGTTTGAGGGCGGGAGGAGATGAACAGGGAGAGCACAGACGACTTTTAGGGCAGTGAAAATACTCCATATGAAACCACAACGATGCATGTCATTATATCTTTGTCCAAACCCATAGAATGTACAACACCAAGCGTGAGCCCTAAAGTAAACTATGGACTTTGGGTGATTACGATGTGTTAGTGTAGTTTCATCAATTGTAACAAATGTACCACTCCAGTGGGGAATGCAGATAATGAAGGAGGTTATGCATGTGTGGGGGCAGGGGATACATGGGACCTCTCTGTAACTTTTTCTTACTCTAAAAACACAAAGTCTTATTAAAAAAAAACAAGGAATAGAATAGAGTATGGTTTGGTTAAGTATAACCAACTGGCTTTGGAACTCAATTATCCCACTCTTTTTATTTTTTCCAAGTCACTAAAGAAATTTTGAGAAAAAATGATGGAAAACAATTTTTTCTAATGTTGGAGACTTTTAAGGTTGGAGGGGAAATTTTAACATCATTTGAAAATATCTGAATACAATCTTTAAAAAAATAGAGAAGGTAAATATTGCTTTGCGAGACTTTTATTTCAGTAACGTGGGTATATAGTTGGTAGTGATATAAAATATATTTCTCACCATGAGTTGCAGTCAAAAAGATCTGAAAGCCACTAGGTTAATTATCTCCCAACTTAAAAAAACAAACTTAAAAAAACAAATAAAACCATCCCTTGACTCAACATCTACCTCCAGCTATGACCTCATTTCTATGCTCTCCCTGACACAGTAAAACTTCCCCAACGAGCTCCCTACCTTAATGGTCTCACTTCCTCACCTCCAATTTGGTCTCAATCAATTCTAAGTGCTTTTGATGCCTCCTCTCCAATGAAACCATTCTGGTCAAAGTTTGTTGCCTGAGTTGTGAAACCCATTGATCCTTTCTATCTCCTTTTACTCAACCTTTCACAGTAGCATCTGACACAATTCAGCCATTTCTCCTTTCTTGAAACACTCTCTTTTCCTAGATTTTCTGATACCACATTTCCAAGTTTTCCTCTTGTCTCATGGCCACTCATTCCGCTTTCTTAACTGCCTTCCCTACCCATCTTTTATACTCTAAAACAGCAGATTTCAAAGTGCACTGGCTGACAGCTAAGGATCCCTGAGCCTCTTTTGGAGGACGGATGATGTAAAATCTATTTTCATAATAATACTAAGAAGTCATTTGCCTTTTTTGTTATGTTGAAATATGCACTGATAGTGCAACAGCAATGGTGGATAAAACTGCTGG